GCCGGTGTCTGATGGTCAATTTTGATGACAAACGTGATAGTGAACACCGCACATCGATATCTACCATCGTTTCTGAGTTACAGCATGTTTTCCGAAAATGTGCATTTTCGAAAACTTGCTGTAACTTTTCTCCTGTCGAAAATTTGTTGTTTCTATGAAAACATTTCCAAAGCACTTCCTCACGTAAGATTCAATGGTATGAGTAATTTTTTCAAATTATATATCAACGGAAAAATATTTTTTCTTCAAATGGGACACCCTGTTTTCTTCTGCATATTTCAATAGAGCTTAAAATTACCATTCCGAAAATATAGCACACTCGGTATTTTCCTTAAGTCACATCTAGCCTTTGAAACGCACATCTTGAACAAGTAGGCTTTGGACGACGCGGTGATAAAACAGAAATCGAATGTTTACTGTGCTGTCAAATTATGATCAAAGTAATATTAGAGCAGTAAAGACGCTCCTCAATTCGTGGTTTTCGTTCAATTCACAAACACATTTTCAATGAAGTTTGAAAATTATGAAAAATGGGATATGATATTCTGTTTTATACAAAACGGGGAAAATGCAGAAGCAGCAAACGATTTGTACCACGAGAGGTATCCAAAGAAAGCTATTTAGAGATATTGATGTGAGATTGCGGCGCAACCTAATTGATGATGGTCAATTTGAGAAGAAAAGGCCAAAAGTATATGAACCAATAGGGATAGGGATTAGGAAGAAATAGTTGTTTCAGGAGCTGTTGAAAATAATCCCAGAACTTCAACACGAAATTTGGAAATAACAACAGGCCTACCAAGAAGTAGCATTAGACGGACTTTAAAAAAGCACAAATTCAAGCCATACAGGACCAGAAAAGTTCATCACCTCATACCAGGAGATTTTGAACGCCGCATGAATTTCTGCTAATGGTTTCTAGAGAATTGTAACCGAGTGCGTGATTTTCCGTTAAATTGTATTTGGACAGACGAAGCTTATGTGAGCAGTGCCGGTATTTTCAACCGCCACAATTCGAATACTTGGGCACAACAGAATCCTCATTCTATTGTGGAGCAGAGAATACAAGGAAGATTTGCATTAAGTGTTGTAACGGAACCTTCAACTACCCGTTGTAAGGTCACGTAGGAGCAAATTGAATATATAAAACGAGTAAAATAAACTATATTCTGGTAGAATATATAATTGCAAAACTATGACAGTTTCTTGACAATAATCAACTCAAATTCCAAAAATCTTGACATCAGCTATTTCGGTTTGTAGAAACTCAATGTACACAGGGTCTTCTTCCGCAACATCCTGTTCTTCAATCACCTTCTCGTAGATCCTCAGAAAAGCACTTCTCTGAATATCCAAAGTTCTCTCCAATTTCTCCATCATTCAGAGGTAAAAGTCCTGTCACGGTCGCCAAAATATAACGGAACCTTCAACTACCCGTTGTAAGGTCACGTAGGAGCAAATTGAATAAATAAAACGAGTAAAATGAACTATATTCTGGTAGAATATATAATTGCAAAACTATGACAGTTTCTTGACAATAATCAACTCAAATTCCCAAAAATCTTGACATCAGCTACTTCGGTTTGTAGAAACTCAATGTACACAGGGTCTTCTTCCGCAACAAGTGTAAAGGCAGGTGTTTTTAGGGGTAGAATTATCGGCCCGTATATTTATAATGACACTCTCACCTCTCAGAGGTATTTGGAAATTTTAAGGAATCAAATAGAACCCCTTCTTGACGAATTGCCGCTAATGGAGCTCAGGGAAATATATTTTCAGCAAGACGGGGCTCCCCCTCACAACACTGCAATCGTCCACAATTTTTTAGCAGCGGATTCTGGCAATAATTGGATAGCCAACCAAGGTCCCAACCGTTGGCCGGCCAGATCACCGGACCTAACGCCTATGGACTTCTACCTCTGGGGAAAGATGAAAGATCTTATTTCCAAATTGCCGACCAACTCTAGACAGGAATCGGAAGCGGCAGTGATGCAGAGTTTTGCTTCTCTCACTCCCATTGAACTAATCAATGCGGCAAGCCATGTTCAGAAAGGTGTCGCGTCAATTGGACGTGGAAAATTGGACGCACGACTATTGGTCGCAGTCAATTGGACGCGGCGACAATCGGACGCGGCGACAATTAGACGCGGCGACAATTCGACGCGGCGACAATTGGACGCATGCGTAAATAAAAATAATTTTATAATTCCAATGAAATTCATTGTATAAAATATGAAATACTGATGGGCTTATATCCATAATTATAACAAATACCTATGGCCTCGTTTGACAATTATTTTCCTATCTCATATCGTAATATGAATTTACGATACGAATATAGTACAATATTTTAGGTTAGTTAGGTTAGGTTAGGTATTCGTTATATTATAGATATGAGCCCTGCATATTCCATGCAATAAATTTCATTGGAATTATAAAATTATTTTTATTTTCGCATGCGCTCAATTGTCGCCGCGTCCAATTTTCGTCGCGTCCAATTGTCGCCGCGTCCAATTGTCGCCGCGTCCAATTGTCGCCGCGTCCAGTTATCCGCGTCCAATTTTCGTGCGTCCAATTGACCACGTCCAATTATCGGTAATCCGTTCAGAAAAGGTGCCGCCTGTGCGTAGGAGAAGCTGGTAGACATTTCGAACACCGTCTCTGAAGGAATATTTTGTTCTTGTTCTTTCTTTATTATTGTTGTTGAAGTTTATTTATCATTTTCAAATATAGTTTGAATTGTTTTCAGTTCAGTTGTGTTGAACAAATGAGTTTTAATTACTGCTATGAACAGCTTCCTTAAAATTTGACGGCTTTGGAATTCCTTGCCAATGGAAGTATTCCCAAGAACTTAAAACCTTCAAAAGTTTAAAGAAAATTCCAACACCTACCCCCTCTCCCTATCTTTCCTAGGAACGCACGATGCTCCACGAACACTGTAGGAATTTCCTTTCGTGCGCTCCAAGAGATGAAAAAAATGCGCCTTGCCTTTTATCGCCGCATCTAAAAACCTAAAAAGCACTGTATTTCAAAAATGACTTCAATAAAATATCGACTGTGCTATATTTTTGGAATGGTAATTTGAAAAAAACATTTTTCCGTTATTAACAACTATTGATATATACTTTGAAAAAATAAATTACTCATATCATTGAATTCTACGTGGAAAAGTGCTTTGGAAATGTTTTTATAGAAACAACAAGGCAGGAAAAAAGGTACAGCAAGTTTTCGAAAATGCACATTTTCGAAAAACATGGTGTAACTCAGAAACGCTGACAGATATTGATGTGCAGTTTTCACCATTGACGGCCGGTTGTATAAAAGCTCATCAAGTATTTGATGTCACTTCAACTATTTGATGCGACGTTATAAATGGAATTCGGTTGCATGAAAGGCCCATCATGTACTTAATGGCATGGTTACTTAATCATCTGATTAACTTATGATAATGACTATTTAATTGAAAAATCTGTTGCACAAAGGCCAATCAACTTTAGATGTCACATCAAATCGACTCAATTATGGCATCAACTTAATCAGTGCTCGACCACTGATTAAAGTGACAACCAGCAAATGACTTATGAAAGTTCCGCCAAATTATTTTGAATATTTCGCAGAATTTTTGCAGAATCTGAAAAAACGTTGAAGTTCTTAGTTCTTGTTTCATTTCAAAAAGGTGGGGTAGGTAAATGAACACAATAATGTTAGTAAATTATTATATTACAGAAAATGTCTATCTCATCATTGTCTTCACTATCTGAAGAAGAACTACTGATTCCCAGGCCAAGAACCTTTCGAAATAGAAACAATCCATTCGAAATGTACGATGACAATGATTTCAATACTCGATTCAGGTTTTCTAAACCAGTTGTAATGGAATTGCTCCATATGTTTGGAAATCATATTGCATCCTCCAGTTCTTCCTTAGTGATCCCAGCATTGGTCAGTTTATCCATGTACCGTTTTTTCTGTGAACATAAAAATTATATAGACTTTCCATAAGTAATAAAGAATATGCATGAAAATCAGTAGGTAGGTATTCATATGAATAATTCTCAAAATAACTCATACTATACCTTCATTTCTACTCAGCCATATCAGCCACAGTTTGCATCTACTTACATTTTCATCTGCTACAATTTTTTTAGTCCTTCTTTTCAAATCATCCCATAGAATCCGTAACTGCTTCCAATCTCGTGGTAGGCTGAAGCAGCTGTCAAACTCATTCTGAATAATTATCCATGTATCTCTTTTTTTCTTCAAACATATCGCATCCGATTGCTTGCATTCAATAATATTTTTATACCTGTAGACAAGATAAACATAATAGCTTCATGAGTTTTGGATGAAAGATATCAATTAAAATATTAAAATCATACCTAGGTATTATGGAAAAATTCACTTACTTTTTAACTATCTCCATTAACATCGTTTTTTCTGCTTCAGTATAATTCGCCCCTCGTTTTTTCTTCGAAATATCCATTATTTTTCAACTTCTGTCAAACTGAATGTTAATCAAGCAAATAAACCTAACCTAAAATGCGTATCAACAATGCGCGGAACGCAAGGACACAGACAGATGCTGTTGCCACGCCCTCCTCTTCATTAGTAAATGGAATGATTATCATAACATCAGATTGTTTATGCAACGCGAATGTCATTTAACATAACATCAAAGTTAATGTGGCATCAGTTGATTGTATGATCAATTTTTCTTTATGCAACCGGCCCTGAGTTTGTCATAAAAATTGACCATCAGACACCGACATCAGTTTTCGTCTATCTAGTTTGGAAATAGGACTTTCCCTTTGAAAGTGTCCAATTTGGCCCACCCTGTACAATTTGAAGCGTCCTGTAAGATCTGACTATTGCAGGTGAAGTGCCGGCTGAAGACAGCCATCACAAAAAAACCCTCGAAAAACGAGGGCCGCAAAAGCATCCACAATCTATCCACCACTCTCCCAATAGCCACCACCCCTTCTGTAATGTCCTGGGTGCAGAGGCGCCCGAGCATGTCCTGGGACTTCTCCGTCCACAACATCTGCCAGCCCATCCCCACAGTGCCAGAAATCTCCCAGGAGAACGTCCTCATCGAGGATCTGCTCAATGTGTTGATCGGCTTGCCTGGCAACTACATCGAGCCAGACGAGCTCAAGGACGTTTACGGACCGAGGACGTTTTCGATCAATGAGAACGTTCCGCTGTCGCTCAGGGAGTTGGTGAGGCAGATCCTGCCTCTCGCCAATCACTATTCGATCATCCAGAGGTTCGTGGAGGAGAAGATGAGGTTCGAGTTCGGGCAGGTGAACAATGCTTTGGCCGAGGCTATGCAGTATTTCAACAAGGATCACATGGTTTGTGCTCTTTTATTTTCACTTTTTCAGCGTCTTGCTTGTGTAAAATACACACTTCTCCAAAAAAGTTAACGTCACACCAATCAGCATCCAAAAGTTAAAGATACATTTTCGTATGTTATACAACAATGGGGAAGTTTCCTTCAGATGAATTTCAATAAAATTTGTTCGGAACTCTCCAGTTTTATGTCCATGCTGTACAGAATAGCGACCGACAAGGTCCATGTCGTTTTCATTTCCAAATTAAAGCAATTTCTGATTTTCGGGGCTGCAAACTGTGACATACATTCTGAATCTAGGTGAAGAATATAGCTAGCGACTAGCTAACGAATGAAACACGAATGAAAAACGAATGAAAAAAAATAGAAGAAAAAGAAAAACTGGTAAACAAAAACATACATAACCACAAATGCACTCGGAGCAGATATGCAGAAGGTAGTTGGCTTCATTCTGCGTCTGAGTCTGTTTGATCAGCGGCGTTTTTATAAGAAAAGTATATAGCGACAGTTGAGAGAAACACTCACCTGAATTTCTGTCGTTCCGATGAGTCCTTTTCCAACTTGCAGTTCAGCGGTACATGCGCGGTTGCAACATAGCATTAGCACTGCACGTAATGCATTATTACATTGGGTATTACCAAAGCGGTTTTACATAAGCGATAAAGCGATAAAGCGAGAGCGTTATATAGCGTGTCGTCTCCGGCGTGTTGAGAGTCCACACTGCTTGTCTTTACCAAACCGCCACTAGAGGGCTCTTGTGTTTCCTCAACTGTGTGTTTGTCGCGCAAAGAAATAGTATTACTCTTACTTTATTATTCCTTCAATATGATGAGACCAAAATAATATAAATATAGAGATTTGAATTAAGATTACATCTAATAACTATATCTAGGTACTTATTATCTAAAATAGTATATGATTGGCGAACAGAGTCATCTCCTAAAATTTTATTTTGCAGAAGTGCATTCTAGAATTTCTTATGGTATTATTGTATGGGGGAACACTCCTGCAGCAACTAATGTATTTCTTGCTCAGAAGCGTATTCTAAGATGCTTAGTTGGTTGTCCAGCAACGCACTCATGTAGGAACTATATATACATATACATTCTTGAACTTATGACACATGTCCATCAAAATCAAAATTTGTACAAGAAGAATAGTGATAAGCACTCTCACAATACTAGAAAGAAAGAGGACTACCATGTGCCATTCAAGCACCTGGAACTAACTAAAAGGTCAACAAATACTTTAGGTGTCCACATGTTTAATTCTCTACCACAAAACTTGAAAACTATCCTGCCTGTTCGCAAATTCAAACGTGCATTGTCCAAACTCCTCATAGATCTTTGTCCTTACTCAATACAAGAATTTGAAGGAGCATTTGGTTAATATATATTAATTTTAATTTCAAAATTTTAACTTTACTTCAATGTCTGTGTGTGTTTTATTCTTAAATTATTATAAAGTCTTATTGCAGTTTTATATGTCATTGTCCATTTGATTTATTTGTCAATATCATTACTACTGTTGATTAGGATTGTATTATTATCTTTATCACTATTATTTGTGTAATACTTATTTTGTGTGCTGCTTTGTTGACTTGTCCTATAACTCTTGTAAGTTCCAAAGGATTAATAAATTGATTGATTGATTGATTGATTGATTGATTCTGACAGGTTATGGTTTTGTTATTTATGCAATGAAATATCTCGAATAGAGCTCGGTCCTAAACGAAATAGTTATTTAACCAACTAGTGTATTAATCGCCTTTTAATATACAAGTTGGTTACAAAATTTTTCCGTCGACTACATTTCTCATTTCTCCTGCAATGAAGAAAACTTGGTTCGCGAATTCATCATCCATCCGGAAACTGCTAAGAATCACCCAGTAGCCTTGTTACTGACATTAGTGACATTTGACATTTGTCGAAATGATCAACATAGGAAATAAATTTCTTGTGTTAGAAAACAGGGATTAAAATCGTGTCAGAAACTTGGAAAGGCGAACCCGTTAACGGAAAATCGTCGATGAAATCCATATTTTCGATTCAAATGCAAATTCCGTAAGTTATAGCATAAACAATGAATACGCGGTGTATGTTTGGTTGCCTATTAAACAATCGTGCATTAATAGACAAATCGTTTATTAATAGGGGTCATTAATGAACGATTTCATTCACATTGAACTTAGTCGTTAATACGAGGTCGACGGAAAATATCATTAAATCAATGAATCACTATCGGCTACATTCAATTATACTATCCTTCCTAATTTACTGTCATCGGTCAGAACCCATGGCTCCTTCCTCTTGTTGTGCCTGTCAGTATTTTGAGGGGTGTGGACGGACTCGGAAGTATTGGGCGCTGTTTCAAGATTTAATCTGCAACTTTCCAAGAAAATAGATCTGTTTTATTAAGGAACGAATTCATTAGCAAAAAATGACTGACAAGTTATAAATAACATATTGTAATATAACGATGGTGAAAGATTAGAGATTTTATCACAAAATATCATAATTTATCTTCATTAAGAATCAACTTCATTCAGCCAATGAGAGATTTATGGGAATTTTTCATAATACTTGACAAAGTAGGATTGAAGAACCTATTATATTCCATTGCTGTTATGATATAGTTATTATGCATTCAAAGAACAATTTCCGTAAATCTAGACATATGGATGATATCGGCAACGTCGTACTGGCACAGGGAATCGTATTTTAACTCTGTGTGAATGTGGATTTTCAGAAAGTACGTCATATGAATGGTGGAGGAGCCAAGTTCCTCTTTTATTTATTTTTTTCTGAAGTGAAATTTGATTTTACGAACAAAAGAAAAAAGACTTATGTATTTATTTTTTATGAACTTCAATAAAAGAAACTTCCCCATTGTAATGATGGTGGTCCAGATGCAAATCCCTTCTATTTTGATAAACGATCATGTGGTTGCAGAAAGCAACATTATTTGTTTAAAAAAATAAAAGGAATTTTCGATAATTATCAATAAACGAATCGTATTTGTCAAAATTATTTCACTCATTATATCATGAATAAAACAATGATTTTATATAGTATTTCCATATGCGGTCGTGGCGATATGCAAATAACAATACACCTATCAGGGTGTGGTCATGACTTACAATGAACTCAATGTAAAAACCTGGAAGGGATTCTCTGTGAACGCCGAGTGAGGCAAAAAGGTTGTTCAGGCAACCCGCAGTGGTTGCGGATACATATCTCTTTCTAACTTATGTTAGCTAATGGGAAGCGCTCGCATTATTTGAAATATTTTCTCGTTTTTTGCTTTTATTGAAGAGTGAACGTGATCACATACAAATATCCATTTAGGAAGAAGGATAATGATGCAATCAATTCTCTAATCAATCATTATTAGAAGATAATCATTGTTTTTTTTTTCATTCTTACAGAAGTAGGAAGTCAACTCAATACAAAATTGAAATTATATATTCTGATTCAATTGTCACAACATACTGTTCAGGGTGCGCGAAGCTCAATGTCTCAGTAATATTAGAAGAAAATGAGAAACGATAGAAAAAATTTGAAAAGGAATTCTTAAATGGTATTGAGTACCTGAAGTTAATATTAAGCCTCATTTTCAAGGAGAATAAAAGTTGAATAAAAGTAAAATTGTTTCATTAAAGATGAATATCTGCAACGTCCAGAATCTTAATTTTTTCCTTTCTGTAGAAGGAGAAGCTCCAAAGGCAAACCTGAAAAGACAATATGATGTAGCTCTTGAGTTCAAAAATTTGAACTTGTAGGTTTCACCTTCAACATGTTTTTTCAGTACCTCTTCAAGATTGTAATTCCATTTTTTACTTTTTCTTTCAGTGTTTTCACTTTTCTTTGCAATAGAATAGGCCTTCTCGAATGAAACAGTTCGCGGGTTGCATTATCAATAAACTTTGAAACTTGGGAGCTGGAAGTTGTAGGCAAATCAATGTCCATATAAAAAACATTGTCCTTAGAACCCAAGTAATGAACATCGACACACACAACTATAGACACATCCTGAAAATAAATTATTATAGTTTTTTTGAGAATCTGAACAATTTTCATCTTACCCATGAAGGACAATTTCTGTTTGTCTTGTTTGTTCTGCATCCAAAATATCACAATATAAATAACCATTGTTCATTAATTCGAGATCACAAATCTTTTCAACAACAATCAATTCTCACCAACAAATTCAGTCCTTTCGAAGAAACACATAACAAAAAACAATGAAGTTCTGTCTTGAATTTTTTTGCCTGTTTAGATAAAAAAAGATCTCAACTACTCCAATCATTGGATAAAAGAAAATGTTTACACAAGTGTGTGAAAGGGACAGGTTACTGTAACACAAGCTATCTTTGTTGCATCTGCCCCTGATACACTCTGTTCTATTCGAGAAAACGATATTCTTCCTTCCAGTTGTTTACATTGAGTTCAATGCTCACATATTGACTCACTTTCGACTGTCAAATTGATCCAAGGATCGTCAGGTTGGAAATTATGTGATGGTTAGGAGGTTAGCTATTTACTCATTAGTTAATTATGTTGATATTAAAAAGTGAGTGCCTATCATGATTGTGTGTTGAGTTCCTCATTATGAAAATATGATATCTATGACAGCCTGCTGCTGGTAAGCTATTTCATGTTATTTTTTATCTAACTACCAATGGGAAAGCGAAATACAAAATGGAAACACAAAACAAAATCATCATATGTTTTCGATTATCAACACAGATATTTGGGAAAACTGAATTTATCATGCGATGGTTTTTTTTTTTTGAATTTTTGGTACAAACGTATTTTTCTACAAACGTCAAAAAATGACAAGGTTCGCGCATTGATAACAAATTGCGAAGTGACACTTTTTTTCAGTTTCCTACGTTACCATGATACCTTGCACATAACAATGCGCGAAGTAAAACAGTGCGCGAAGTACCTACTTCGCGCATTGTTATGTAAAATATATGAGATGTTTATATTTCAACTCCATGGTCCTCAATCGAGCAAACATCCACGAAATCATTTATTTCTGTTCCTGGAACATCGTGCGTACCTAGGGAGGATAGGGGGAGGCATTTCAAGCCAGTTCAACACTATTTTTCATATCAAGCTGAGCATATTTTTACTTTAGAACTATATTTTTTGACGTTTGTAGAAAAAATTTTGTTTGCAACTCGAGCGTGAAATACTTTGGTCATCTCGACTATTTTTTTAACTCGCCTACGCCTCGTTAAAAAAATCAGATCTCGATCACCAAAGTAGCATTTCGCGCTCTAGATACAAAAATAACTATTTTATCTGAGAAATACGAATTTGATAATGAAAATGTGAACAAACCACTATTTATCGAGATATTTTAAGAAAAAGTTCGAAATTTCGCCTTCCTTTTACCCTTGTGTTGGATGAATTTACAGCTACTTGCTCTTTTTTTTGTCATTGGACACTTTATATTCTCATGATTTTCATATTGAAAATTCAACAAGAAATGATTTTCATGGCGGTTTTTTCATATTCAGTGAACAAGCATACCAGATGACGGCCATTTAATCAATAGTCAATCCAAATACGAGGTGTCAAATGTCAACGGATTGCTTTTAAATGACATTACACACGCTATTATTTTAAATGATATTCTTCCTTCTTTTCACTAAATATGGATAAATCACAAGAAAATCATATTTCTAGTTGACTCATATAATAAAAAAAAAATTCGTCTTACATTGTGATGTCCAATGATGAAATATGGATGGCAAATTGTTCTAAATACGATCCAGAAGACAGGCAGAAAAGAAGGTGAAATTTGTAACTTTATAGTGAAATATCATAATGAATAATGGTTTGTTCACATTTTCATTATCAAGTTCGTGTTTTTCAGACAAACATTCGTATGTACCAAAAAGAATTTTCGAAAAAAAACCATCACATGATAAATGCAGTTTTAGCAGATATTTATACCAATCAAAAACGTGTATTTTGAAATGAGTGGAATAATCGCTGAAACTACTTGTCCTATTTGGAATCAGAATCATAATCTTTTTTCCAGCTCTTCATCATACAGCTGGAAAGTGAGTTCAAGTCCGGAAATCTCACATTACAAAAACTATGGTTTTTTGTTCAACGCAACATGCAAAGTTTGGGAATAGCAGCTAATATTGCTTCATCAATAAGTAAGGTGAGTTGACTTTTCTGTGCCTTTTGTCCTTTTTTGCATGGTAATGTTTAAAAAGTTTTGAATCATTGAATAATGTAGTCATAACGACTGATATTTTATTTTCTTACCATCATGACCTACCACATTTGAAAATGTAGGGCAGTTGAATTTTGAGCAGTGATTACCGTAAAAAAATGTTCTTGGTAGTTTTAGGCACTGTTTCACGATATAATGTCAAAATGACTTGATATAAACCAATTTTGTTTGAGTTGAGTTGTCAAATGAATCTATATACAGTCTGTCCAAGATAAGGTTGAACAGCATGGGGATCTCGGAAACGGTAGGAGATATGAAGTCGTTTAAATGGGGAAAAGTTGCGCATTCGGAGGCTCATATCAAGAGCCTTCGAAAATTTTGAAAATTATTTTTAGTTTTTTAGTTATATCGAAAAAAGTGAATTTTTGGAATTTCTATTTTATTTTTTTTCTCCGTTATTATTAGAGATACAGCAAAACTGAGAATACTTTTTCATAGCAACTTTTGATGACGGTTAACGTGGTGATACCGATTTTTTCATGCGACGTTTCGTATTCGTGGAACCACCATCAACTTTTGTTTTTTAAATACGGTCCTGATAATTTTTTCACAGATTCTGAAAGGTTTTTTTATTCTGAATTCAAACATGTATGATACAAGGTGGGTCGAATGTGTTTCGACCTATTTCTATCCAGCTAAAAATAGGTCGAAACACAAATAAACCACCTTGTATAATACATGGTTCAATTCAGAATAAAAAACCTTTCAGAATCTGTGAAAAAATTATCAGGACCGTATTTAAAAAACAAAAGTTGATGATGGTTCTACAAATATTCTGTATCTCTGATAATAACGGAGAAAAAAAAATAAAATAGATATTCCAAAAATTCACTGTTTTCGATATAACTCAAAAACTAAAAATAATTTTAAGATTTTTTGGAGGCTCTTGATATGAGCCTCCGAATGCGCAACTTTTTCCCCATTTAACCGACTTCGTATCTCCCACCGTTTTCGAGATCCCCATGCTGTTCAACCTTATCTTGGACAGACTGTATACTAGGGCTGTGCAAGAATATGGATATATCGATTTATTGATGCATCGATTCTCATGAACCTCAGCTTTTTCGAATGTCTTGATATTTCGTTCTCTAATGATGGACACGATTGAAGAAAGTTTCAGATCCATCCCTGGCGATCTGGTTATTCCGAACATACCAAGAAGATCCTGTCACCATTCTCGCGATTTTGTTTTGTATTGCTTGTAATCTGGTGATATGAGATTTAGCTGTGTGGCCCAAGACTACCGAGGCATACAGTAAAATTGGCTTGATTGCCATGATGTAAATATTCAATTTCTGTCTCAAATCCAATTTAGCTTTTGAAACTTGCTGTTCAATGTGCTGGGCCCAGGTGAGCTTCTTGTCAATGCACACACCTAAGTATTTAACTTGTGAAGACCACTCTAACTCATGACCATCCATAAAGAATTAACTTATCTTCTTACTCAGTCAGTTTCGTAAAAGAGACACATATTTTACCCGGAACTGGGAAGTAAGAGGTACTTACGCGTTTTTCTAAATGGAGCTTTTATGGTGCGAAATGATTCCCATAGTAACGCGCTTTTCTGAAAAGGTGCGATAGATAGTTTATTAACAGATGATGGCGGTCTAATAAAATATTGAGCTCAAATTGAAGTTAGGCGCTTTTCCTAAGGCGACGATAATGTCATTTCGTTATCAGATAGGGATCGAAATTCCGGCTATTTTTAATTAAAAGCTTTTTTTCTGTGACGGGAAAAAAGTTTGGCACTTCATCTCTGTTGGCAGGTTATAAAATGTCACTTTTCATAAATTACTTTTTTCCCGTGGGAAAAAAGTTAGTGTTGATGGCTTCTGTTGTGCTATAGTTCCGGAAAATGAATCAATAATACCGTCTCCGAGAAAGAACTGCAAGTCCTTTTATATTCCATTCGACTTCGCCGTTACGTATATTACTAAACAACCACTAAATTGGCAATTTTCTGAAATCAAATCACAGAATTACATTGACAGAAGTGACATCAGATATTTGATTACTTCAAAAGAATGATGAAGATGCCTACAACGCAGGTGCCTACTGGTAAAAACTTAAAATTTCACGTCGATAATTTTCAGATTTCAAAATAATGTAATATTTTTTCAATATTGATTCGTCCTTTCCTCTGTCACAGAAAAAAATAGTGTATTATACACCGGAAAATATTAGATTTTAGCTCACGGTTTTTTGTCTCCCTCCACTACGCGTCGGGAGACAACACAACCTGGAGCTAAAATCTACTACTTTTTTCCCTTGTATAATAAATAACTATTATTTAAGTTGCACTGTATGAATGTATGTTGGTTCGGGTGGAATCTTTGAACTCAATTTTGAAGTAGATATATTCAAGCGATTGAGCTGAACTTTTGCATGCACGTTCAGTTTGGATGACGATGCATGATGAAGTGTGTGAAGTTATTCTAAATCCAATATGGCGGACCATCCTAGATGGCGGAATAGTTATTTTCAATGCACTTCTACAATATGGGGATTAAATGGAAGGACTTGTTGAAAATAACTCGAAAAATAATGTGACGTCATTCTGAATCCAATATGGCGGACCATCTAAGATAGCGAAAGTTTTTTTCAATGCACTTCCACAATATGGGTATCAAATGAGAGGACTTGTTCAGATTAATCCGAAAAATGATGTGACGTCATTATGAATCCAATATGGCGGACCATCCAGGACGGCGTAATAGTTATTTTTAATGCACTTTTACAATATGGGTATCAATGAAAGGGCTTGTTGGGAGGAACTCAAAAAATAATTGACGTCATTCTAAATCCAATATGGCGGACTATCCAAGATGGCGGAATAGTTATTTTGAATTCACTTCTACAATATGGGTATCAAATGAAAGGGCTCGTTGAAAGCAACTCGGAAAATAGTGTGTAAAATTATTAGAAGGTCTCCTTATTATTGAAGAGCTGGACTGTTCGAAATTAACCGGCAAACGACCTTCCAACGATGATGCGTTGAATGAAATGACTGAGAAACCTAGCCAGCGATAACTAAAAATAAAAAATAAATTGAAAGTAAAAAAAACATTTTTAATAACAAGATCTCATTTAAACGCTCTAAAAACAATAAAATGAAATGTTCCTTCATAATTTCATCTATCAACTTATAATATCCTCATTATACACAATTTATATGATCATAAAAGCCTGTCGCGCGATTCACTTGTGTGAATGAACTAGTCCTGATTTAATTTTTTCAGATCTGCTGAGTTTAAATTTTTGAAATTTCAATTCAATTATGTATTGATCATCGCGACAAGCTTCTATGATCATATAAATTGTGTATTATGAGGTTATGAGTTGATAGTTGACATTATAAAGGAACATTTCATTGTATTCTTTTTAGAGCGCTATGAAAGCTTTTCATCGAAAACGTTTTTCAACTTTTTATTTATTTATAGTCGGATGCAAAAGGCGGAAAAGTGCTGAGCTTGTTGCACGACAATGTTGTCGGCTCTATTGGTGACGAGCGAGCCCAGCAGCTGTGTCTGAAGCTGATGGAAGCTGCATGCGTGCCGTACATGAAGATGTTGGGGATGTGGATATACAGGGGGATCATATCTGATCCCATAAATGAGGTATGTACTAGCGATATTCAAAATATTATCATTCATTCATTCAGTTGGAAATTGTCAAAAGCTTTCAAATTTAGTTTTCCAAATCAAAAGTAGTCATCAAAATCATTCAACTTTACAAGCAGATAACTTTTATGTCATGAACATTGAATCAGATATTGGTAAATAATCCATCAGTTACAATAGAATGATACAGTATAACTCACTACCAAATAACTTGAAAGTGTTGAGAAGGAATAATATTCTCAGATATAATTATGAACCTAAAAAAATTGATATATATTTATAGAAATACATTGAGAATTCGCATTCTCTATGTGATGGAAATATCAATTCTTTCTCGGTTCATTCAACAGAGAACAACTACTTTCCTGACTATATGCCACAACGAATATTGAATTACTTTTATTGAACACACAGGATAAGAATTTGAAAACAAAATCTTCTGAAGTAGAGAATTTGCATTCTCCCTCATATAGATATATGCACATAATATCATTCTGAATATTCAACAGAAAACAACTATTTTCCTGTCTATTTGCCACGTCGAACATTGCATTATATCTGTTTAACATCCAAAAAGAGAGCATCAAAAATGAAAATTCCTTGAAATTGAGAATTGACATCTTCTCACAAATCGGATAAAATAATATGATGTATTATATACAGGGTGAGTCAAGCTGAACGCATCGGGCTATAATGACCAAATGGTAACCTTTCTGAGGAATAATTTTATCCAGGCGCATGTATGTCGATCTGGACCACATTTTTAAAATGGTGTGATGAATACAATGTGTCCCAAAAAAGGGTGGCATATCAAAGTTGTACTTTTTTGAATGGAACACCCTATATTTCATTGCATTTTTAGATTCTCCCTGAAAAGCTGATTCCATCAATGCATCACACTTGAGGTCTAGCGGGAATGGTTACAGAGATATAGGGTGTTAAAAATCGAGATTTTCCAATTATAGGATTTTTTTGTGTCGAAACTATTCATTATAGGCCAAAACGGCTCGCATGTCCCTATCTCAACTTTTGATTTACTACCTACTGACATTCAATTGGAACAGATACAGGGTGATCAGAATTCTGAATCTTGAACCACCCTGTATTTGTTCCAATTAAATGTCAGTAGATAGGAAATCAGAAGTTAAAATTGGAACATGTGAGCCGTTTTGGCCTATAATGAGTAGTTTCGACACAAAAAATTACTAAAATTGAAAAAACTCGATTTTGAACACCCTATATCTCTGTAACCATTCCCGCTAGACCCCAAGTGTGATGCATTGATGGAATCAGCTTTTCTGGGAGAATCTAAAA